ATCTAGACCTCTATAAATGCCCTTTGCCTCCCAGCTCTTTCCTCTATTTCCTTTGACTTTCCTCCTGTCCCACTATCATGCTCAGTCCCCACCTGGGTTTCAGCAATTCCTCTTTGTTACATTACCCTTGATCATGCCATACCAGGCCTCCTAAACCCTCCTTGCCACTGATTTGGATCACGTGTTGTTCCCTTGTCCGTGGGTTTGTTAACACCACTACCTTTCCCCCCACCTCCCCCTCTCCCATGTCCCCCCAGAACTGTGAGTCCCATTGTTTTCTCCTCCAGATTGTTCCTCCATTCTATCCTAGTTAGACAGATCTGTGGAGATAATAACATGCACAAAAACAAGATAGAGCAAAACCAAGAAACAATATACAACAAACCAATGACAAACAAAACAAAACAAGAAAGAAAAGCTTGTAGTTAGTTCAAGGATTACTTATTGGGCTTTAGGAATGTTTTCCAGTCCAGTCTGTTAGGGCACCACATCCTGGCCCCAAAGTCCACCTTCAACATTCCCTGGGGACCTCGCTGCTCCATTCCCTTGCTGTTCTGTTGCACACTCTTAGTGTTTTGCCTTGGTGTGGCGGGATCAGATCGGGTGCAATTCCCACACTGTGTCTCCGGTGTTGTCCCCTGTAGGACCATGAGTCTGTGAGGGGTGTCATGTCTCATAATGGGGCCGGCCATGTGGTCCTCTCTGTGGACTGGCTGCTCTAATCGGGAACATTATCCTTATGGCCTGTGGGTGAGGATGTGCTCAACTCCCTCCTCCTCCCCCTTCATCTGCTCCCATTTGCTCCTATCAGATGTGCTCTCTCCCGGAGCTGCATATTCAATCCGGTCCTTTGAAATAAATTCTTCTGGGGGAGACGCAGGTGTCCATAGTAGTAGTAGCTGGGCTTGGGGCCGGCCGCCCAGACCTCTCCAGTGGTTCCCACTGCACACTGGCATGTTGCATTCACATCTTGGAGCACTGGGTTGAAGTCTGGTCCCTCTTTCCCTGTGGAGATATAAACAATACCCTCTCCTTGGGTGGGTTAGATCCCTTTGACCCAGCTACCCATTTAATTTTTATTATTATTATTTTTTCCTTTCCACACCTCTTTTTTAGTTGTCTACCATGTGTATCCCTGTATTTGGTTTGGCCCCTGCCATATTACCTGGTCTTCACCCCAGGAATGTTTGTATACAGTAGCTTTTTCCCTATTCCCCCTTTTCATTGTTTTTTTTTAAAAGCTTACTTCAGCGGACTCATGTTGTACTTGTCCTTTTGTGGTTGGCTTACTTGGCTTAGCATGATTTCCTCCAGTTCCTCCCATGCAGCAATGTATGTGCTTCATACATTCATCACTGCTTTTTTGCGTTGCATAGTAGTACTCCATTGCACGTATATACCACAACTTTTTAATCCAATCGTCAGTTGATGGAAATTTGGGTTGTTTCCAACTCCTTGAAATTGTGAACTGTGCCGCAGTGAACATTGGAACACAGGTGCCTGGCCTTGGTTTGTTTCTTGCCTCCTCTGGGTATATGCGGAGTCACATGGTAACTCAATTTCCATCTGTTTTAGATATCGCCAGATCGATATCCATAGTGGCTGTACATACTTAAGGTCCACCAGCAGTGGATGAGAGTTCCTTCCAGAGTGCCACAGCCCTTCCAACACTTGTTGCTTTCTGATTTTTTTGAATTGGGCTATCTTTGAGGGTGTTAGATGTTACCTCATTGTTGTTCTAATTTGCATTTCTCTTGTGGCTAAAGATCGAGAACATTTTCTCATGTTTATTGTCCATTCAGATTTCTATCCCTGTGAAACTTCTGTTCAGGTCCTTCGCCCACCTCCTCAGCAGGCTATTAGTTTTTTTCTTTTTTGAAGCTAGTGGAGTATTGTAGATTTTAGTAATAAGGCTCTCTCTGGCAGACTTGTAGGAATGCTTCTTAGAACTTCCTACAGCTAATTTCACTATGGAATGAACCAACCATTTTATCCTCCTGTGGCTTCCCTCTCAGGAGAGTGCCCCAGAAGGCTGGTGGGTTGCCTGCTTTGGTGTTGTGGAGGTTGAGCAGCGGTTCCTGCAGCAGCATGGAATGTTTACAAGTATTGGCTGAGCTGCCTTAGGCCCCCAAGCACACAGGCAGGAATTCCCCAGTAAGAAGTTGGCCAGAGAATCCTCTGGTGGAAGTCAGCAGGGCTTTCCCCAGCCTCAGGCTA